ATCTCCTGTCCGATCCGTATGTATGGCATCAGCTCTTCTTTGTCGATGTCTTCGGCGAACATAACGGTGGCGTCAATACAAGTGCCCATTAATGCACCGCAATATTCAGCACCCATTCTGTTGGCAATCACACCATTAATACATCGCAAACACATTATAACCGCAAAATGGTATAAACCTATTGATCTTCGCCCTCAACAGCTGTCCGACCGACACATTAAACGTGTTAAAAGTGGCGCCGATTTTCCAATAGATGAGCGGCTGGTCATCGATAATACGGCCCAACTCTGAGACAAACTTCATGTGTCGGAAATCCATTAAAACGCCTTTAAGTCTGGCATCAAATAAAATGCATTCAATTGAAACATATGTCATAATGGACTCAATTCAAGACAAACTCATAATTGTATTTGTATTTCATGTGATCCAGAATGCGATGAATGGCTCGCTCTTCGTTGCCGATGAACTTGGGATCCAAACCGATCTCAATCTCGCGGTAAATGGTATCAAAACAAGTGGTTTCGTCCAGTATTTGGTCACTCATTGTCGGCAAAACATTGACCGCAATATTACGGCCGATACGAAGACCACATGAAATCGATGCCAATGTTTACGTCTATTGCTTAACACGTGTTTGTATTTGCAATTCACAGACAATCCCTTCAACGAGTGATTCAACGCTATTATGAAAAGCAAAACAACAAAACTTTTGCCTCAAAAATGATTAACAAATGAATTGTGAAATGAATTTATTTATTAATTGTTCACTCATTTTATACTCAATTCAAAGAGATGTGGTTTTCATTCACTTTTTGAACAAAAATAATAGTAAAAATACCAAATATAGCATTTGTAACTTACTCTGTAGTGACTTCTCATTACTCAGCCGGAAAACTAACGGCAGTGTAACTCACCAGCGCTGTACATGGGATCAGCTGAAGACATCACTCGAATTTGATGCCCTGAGCCAATGGGAGTTGTTTGCCGTAATTGATAGTACACGTCGAGCGACGCATATATTGTTTCCACGAATCAGATCCTGACTCCCGTCCGCCGCCCGTATGCTTAACACATAAACAGACCATTCATTTACCGAAAGTGAGCGCAAAATATAAGACAAACCTTTTCGCCGCCGAAAGCGCCGCCAATTTCTGCCCCATTTGTGGGAATATTGACGTTAACTATACCGCAATCCGAGCCCTTCGGTCCCATCCACTGCACACCAGAGCAGGCATTAGATACACATTCAATGCAATGAAATTGTGGTTTACTTTGAATATATTGTTGAGATTAGTGGTGAAGAGACTGCTCGACAATCCCTGTTTGACTTCATTGTTCCAACCGATGGCCTCATCCAAAGACGTGAATTTCAAGGCATAGACAATGGGCGCGAATGTCTCCCTTTGGACGAGTGGTGAGTCGTGTGGAAGACCTGTAATAATGGTCGGCTCCACGAAATTGCCCTCTCGTTCAATAGCTTTGCCGCCGCACTCAACACGTCAAAAACTGGAAGACAGAGACTTTGAATGCAATACCGGCTAAAGATCACGTCGACGACCACTCAAAGGCCTCGCCAAAAGACTTAATCAAAGATCTCAAACTCCAAGACATTCAAAGCATTTTCTATGTCTGTATTTTAGGACTTCTTTTCTCAATCTTTGCCTTCATTTTTGAGTTTATTTTAAGACAAATCTCATTGAATGGCAATTGTCTTTCACTCGAGGAATGCTTTTAATCAAATGAACACATTTTTCGTTTTGTAATATATTTTTATTAAAAGCATTCAAAAAACGTAATATTAATTCAAAATATAAAATGAACAAATAATAATAATAATGGTCCAATGGTTGGCAGTTTAGTCTAACGAGTGATTGAATTTAAATTAAGTTATAAATCATAAAATTAGTGATAAAATTAGCGATAAATGACCGAAATGTTAAACTTATAAACCGTATATTAATATAGATTATAATATATGGTATAATTCAAGAGATTTGTTAATAAAATTGTTTGTCTGAAGATATGATAACTATTTCAATGGTAGCGATTAATGTGTTTCGCAATACTTAGAGAATGGTCTGATTGAGTGGACACGTGTCGCAATAGATAATTAGATTTGTATTAAACATATTGAACTGCGGGAACCGATCCGTGCATTCGCTCATTGAATGGTAATTCAATACTTCAAACATTCTTGCGATGATCTGTTCGACAGTGAGATCCGTTTCAAAGCGTATGGCACACGACGGACACATGAGATACGCCGACGCCGTCTTCTCCATGGCGTGTGTCTTACAATAGGGACACGGAATCACTCGATGCACTTGCAGTGAGTTCACGAACTGTTGACTCTTGCGCTGATCCTCTTTGGTCTGCAGGCCTTCCCACGACTTTGACTGTTCGTTGAGAAACTCTTGTCTCACTTCGTTTGTCAATTGGTGCAACTCTTGGGCCGACATCGACATCATGTCCACATCGGTGTTCATCATGTGTTGAATCTCTTCGTCGACGTACGCGTTGTCTTCGTCGCCGTCATCTGCGGTGTCGTTATTGATATCGATTTTTCTCATGCGATCGACGAGTGATGACCGCATTTCTTGGCTCTGTTTCAGTCTTGAGAGCAGTCTATCTCTGCATAACTGTCTGGTTGTCGGCGAATGCCATCGACTCATGAGTTGGTGTCTGTTATCTGTGGGCGACGGGTGTCGAGCCATACTTGCCATTGAGTCGCACATGTCTTCAGACATTTACCACCAGAAAGTCAATACCTATTCAAATGAGACAATCATTACAACCACTGAAGACATGCCTGAATGCACTCCTTTGGCGCCTAAAGTCTTACCTTTAAATAAGTCCACAAATCAGTCATTAATGCAAATCCAATCAAACCATCGATTCGTGCGTTAATTAAATGTCAATTAAAGTGAAGAAAACAATGATTTGAATGAAATGTCAAATGAATTAATGATTTAATGAGTGATTCAATGATTGAGTTCACAGTGAATGAGATGTGGAAATGGTTTGAATGACTGAATGGCTTGAATGGCAACGCGTTATGCAATGACTGAACGGTCCCTCAGTTTTGAGCAAACATTCAATTCAACAACAAATCAATTGTCACTCAAAACAAGTCATGTCTTCAGCCGTCGATTTGCTTGAGTTGCGGATCAAAGCCATTGAGGACCGGGTGTTGGGCCGTACGGCCGGTCGTCCGGACACGAGTGGACCCACTCTTGTGGACCAATTGACGCAAATGGAGGACAAACTGCGGGAACTGACGGCAGGAAAGGAGAGATTCAACAATTGTTACCACAAATGCCGTCAATTGGATAAGTATTTGGACACCGAATACTTGGATCAGGTGTTGACCACCGATTCGGCCAAAATGGAGCAAATCATGGCATACGAAGACCAGATCAGAGCCGATGCCCACAGTCTTCAACGAGTGGATCAGTTGGCGACTAATATAGACTCCAATCATATCAGAAGTTACGAGAAGTTTGAGACAAAACTACAGACAATTCGTGTCATTTGTTTGCAAAGAAGTCAAGAGTCGACCAGAATTGACGAGAAGACCAAACAGTTGATCGTGTCTTACAATCAATGGTTAGACACAATCAAACAACAGCTCACAGATTGGGATCAACTCTTGACTCAATTGGAGGACCAGAAGAAACGCCAGAAGACGCGACACAATTAAAGTGGACATCGATTTACAGATTATAAACCATTTATACATTAATTTATGATTAATTTATTGAAAAATTAATAAATCTTATAAAAACGTGAATTTAATTACTGCTAAATCAGAGACTTAATTGTCATTTGAATATTAAACTGTATTTACAAAACATATAAAAGTTTGTATGATATCTATAACGGGTGGCAAAGAGTTGACTATAATTGGCTAAAACGGCTTTGAGTGGCCGCAAGAGTGGACTTCAAGACTTGTTTGGCTTTGGCTTGTCTTTGGGCTCGTTATCGGTTCCCAAGACATTGCGGTCGATCTCCCAGATGTCGATCTTCTGTTCACTCAACGCCTTCTTCACGCAATTCTGGTATCGTTTGAAGAGTTGGTCACACATCTGATCGCTGCCATTGGTCTGGCCTTTCAGGTACTTATCGGCGAACCACGTGTTGAAGCACTGCTCGTACTCTTTCTTCAGGTCATTGCAATCCTTTCCGATGCTATTCATTGTCCGCACACTTCGCTAACAATCAGTAAATCATTACAACATTTATTCAACAAATATAACTATAATTCAAAACACATTTTAAATTAAAAATTGAGTAAAATGTGAATATTGTTTATAAAAAGCAACCGTTTTAAAGGGCGTAACAATAATGCCATTTAAACACACACTCAACCAATTGTTTGCTTGAGTTACGCCCTTTTTATCCACAGTATTATAATAGGGAATATATCGCTATTACTTTTGTTATCAATTGAAATAAAATTAGTAAATATTTATTTAATTTAAATACAATTTTAATTAAAAATTATAATTATGTAATAAACGATGTATTGGTGAACGTCTCTGTATATAAAATACACAAAATTCATTAGAAATAACATATGATATAAATGACAATTAAAACATACCATTAAATTCATCACTCAATTCAATAAATTCTTTAATTTGTTGCAAACACTTGTCATCAATGATACCATCGATGAAATTATTGCTCGCATCGAAACTATTCACACGAAAGATAATCTCCTGTCCGATCCGTATGTATGGCATCAGCTCTTCTTTGTCGATGTCTTCGGCGAACATAACGGTGGCGTCAATACAAGTGCCCATTAATGCACCGCAATATTCAGCACCCATTCTGTTGGCAA